TAACGACAACATATCGTAGTTGAAAATAAACGAAAAGTACCACTCGTACAATGCACGTACGACTCAATGGTCCGTTGATTGTAAGTTGTTAACAGTCAATTTCGTTTTGTTACAATTTGGGAGTAACGTTCTTTCTGCATCCTTATGAATGTTGCATGAAATTCTTTGCTGTCTGATTGACTGTCCTCATCCATTGTCTTATCAGACTTTGCTTTGTCCGCCGCCAATTTGTCATCGGTCAGCCAATCAACGTTCTGCTTGATAGCGCCGACTTGCCGCTCCAAACTTGACAACTATGTGTCCACTTCATTCAATCTTTCGTAGATAGCTTGCAACTGTTGGAATACAGGAGCAACATGAGCTTCAACAATAGCTTCAATCTTGTTCGAATCAGACATTTTGTAGGAATATGTGTATGGTTTATTTTACTGACTACTTTTTAAAAGGAATGTACAGATTCATATTATTACACAACACTATGCTATAAGTATTTGTAAGATATGGTACATGACTTGTATGTTTTCAGAAGACCTCATATGTTGTGACATACATTGTATTAATATCTCAATCTGGCCGAATTCATCTTGCAAAAATTCGTTCCTTCTTGCATGCACCAAGTCATCCGTTAAGTACCCCTGATCGTCCATTATTTGGCATTTCCAACACACATGCATTGTACCTTCCATGAGTACTATCCCACTGTCATTAATTTCCACACCCACAGTTTAGCATACATTCACATCCGTTATTTGTATTTGTGCCCCAACCCAATTACATGTCTACTCATCCATAAAGCTTAGCAAAATTCCTCTTATCAGATACATATGTCTTTCCAACTGCACCGAACCTATTAAATGAAATACCCGTAGTCATTAATTTGCTTTTACTCAGTTTGGGTAGGTGTTGCCACCAAACAACAATAAGTGTGTTCACATCTTTAAACCTACCACTAACGTATTAATGACTACGGGTTTAAGGTAATTTAACATTTACAACCAACCACAAAAAAGTTCGCAACCAGTGTTGTTTCCTTTGCATTTGGGTTTGTTTTTGCGTCCATATATTGTTCGTGAACCTGCGAAAACAAAGTTGGGCTCAATCAAGAACCTTCACACCTATGGATGCACACCATGGTAATCGCGGTCGTGGACAATCAGTTGCAAGGGCTGATAGCTCCCGACCGAAGTTACCAGAATTGGATTATGCAGGTGGGTATATCGATTCCTTCGGTGATCGATGTTTCTTTGAAACAGGGTTCCCACTGTGGAGTTTTCAACCTCTACGGGATTACAATTGCACCCCAATATAAGATGCAAGCCTGGGGAAGTATTTTGGAATTCCAGTTTCACTGTTTGCCAAACGAGTTCAGTGTGAACACCACTATCAATGTGTTTTTGTCAAGGTTACTAAAGCCCGATCGGTTGAAATGCAGCGTCAATTCCCTCATGTCAGTGAGTCCCAAGTTAGGCGTTGTTTGCAGAGTGAGATTGATCAAATGACTCGTCGACTCATTAGGCACTCACGCATAGAGGACGCAAAGGCAGAGTCGAAGATACATGGATCGAACCCGGCATCTGTGATCAAGGCTATAATGGAGGATCTTGCACTGGTGTCAGACCCTGACCTTTCAGATTACTCAGACTCCGAGGTTGTTGATTTGAGCGAGGATTAGGAGACCTAGACATGTGTATGACATAGTAAGCGTAGTGTTGTAAGATGCCATCGTGGTGCGAAAAAATACGACTTAGAAACTAACAAACCGTCATACTCTGCTAACCATTTCAACGGTGCATGCGTTAATGTCTTCATCATTTCGACTTTGTTGAAGGTATTTTTTTGGGTCACCGTCATCGACTGAAAGCTGTCTTATGATTTAGAATCAAAGTACGATGACAAGGTCATTTTTCTGTCATGTCAATGACCGTTATCGGAAACTATCATTAACCTATGTTTTGTTGATTACTTCATATTTTGTGAATCGTTGAATATGGACAATAAGGTTTAAGTGTCAGAATCATTCAATGGAATCACAAGCTGTAATTGCAAAAAAAAAAATTGTGCACAACCGGCCAACGGTCTCATACACTCTAACATCAATATGAGCACAAATGTTTTGTTTTTTCAAACACAACGGTTGTGTGGAAGCATACGCTGTGGGGTCAACCTGTGCATTAGGAATGGCAACGGGGCGAGGCGGGGCCGGGGACCACACTCCCCGTCCCCGATCCCCAAAAGTGAGATATCCCCCGTCCCCATCTAAAATATATTTTCAAACATATTTGTAACTCCGTCCATCATATTTTCTGTAAACATATTTGTAACTCTGTCCAGCATATTTTCATATTTGTAAATCTAAAATATATTTTCAAACATATTTGTAACTCCGTCCATCATATTTTCTGTAAACATATTTGTAACTCTGTCCAGCATATTTTCATATTTGTAAATCTAAAATATATTTTCAAACATATTTGTAACTCTTCAAACAATCCTATTCAAACATATTTGTGACATTTTCAAATTAAAAAAATCTATAAACATCTAATTCAAACATATTTCAAATATGATATTTGTCAACATATTTTGTATCTGTAAAGAACAAAATAACATCTATGAATAACTCTGTCTAGCAGAATAGTCCTATTCAAATCAATATATACAAATCAATAAATCTGTCCAGCAGTTCTAAAAAAAAAAAGAATCTGTCCAGCAGCATTCTAATCAAAAGAATCTGTCCAGCAGCATTTAGCATAGCAGAGAGAAAAGCATCCTATTCAACAAAATAACACAAACAACAAAACAGATGTCTAGCAGCTCCACTCAAGAAAATTCAACAAGTTGCAAAGAGAATAATTAGTCCCAAGCACAACCCGCAAGGGATAAGTTACCCAAAAATTGAAATTTAAAAAAAAAAAAATTCCATTACAACATAAAAAATCAAATGAATTGTTTCTCCAATTTTCATACAAACCACACAACTACTTTCATCATCTCCTTCAACTTGAATTCCTGTTAAATAACAAAAGGAAAGAAACAAATAATTAATACTAATAATAAAATGTAAAAAATGTTAACAATTTAAACAAAAATGATGACAACTAACACAAAAGTGGCACATGACTCTTCCGAGTCAATCTCATCATCATCATAAATAGTTGCATAGCCCACCGATTCCAATGTTGAATTTCCTAAAAAGTAAAGAATATAAATTCAGTATTGAAATTATTCCATGGTAATATAAATAATAAAAGTGAAATAATAATATGTAGATTAGATGAAATAATACCTTTCATCTCCGCACCCCACAACCAACTTTGTGCACACATTAATGCTTCTAATGTGTTTGGATGAAGTCCCTAATTATCATATGGCTTTGCAGTAGTGTTCCATATTGTTTCATCCGATTACTAGACGACAACAATATAGGACAATATAGGTAATGTAAGTTGGGAACAATCCTCAAGAAATATAGGAAAATACATGCTACTCAGTTCCAATCCAGCTAATACTAATGCCTATGACTCTTGCATTTCATTAACTCACTTTTCTCATCTTTTTCAACATTCAACCACAATACAACCCCCTAAGATGTCCTAGCCGAATTGAATTTAGAGCCCCACCCATCATTTGATTGAAAGTTCCTGAAAAGCTTTCTAATCAGTAGCCAAAGGAAAAACCCATGTTTTAGTTGTCATTATGAGAAAATAAGACACCTAGGTGATACAAAGGAATTAACATATCATTATTGTCCAAGACATCATAATACAATTGATCAAATATAATGACAAGACATTAAAAGGAAATTTACCAAAACTAAAGCCATATGTGGCCATTAAGGCTTTATTAACGATAATGATCCCAACAGATGTTACTACATTGAACATCCATGCAGCCGCATCAATTGATGCCTTCTTTTCAGCCTTGTTAGCTGGAACCATTTTCTTTTATTTCTTACGGAAGATTGCAGAAAAATCTTTATCCCTCCTCCTCCATAAGAGAAACTGCACACTTCAGCATAAACCCAAGATTTTTGTCTGTTTCAGTAACCCAATTTTCTGAAAAATAGTTACCATCCAATCAAATTTACAGCAGTAGCGTCTATGGGAACAATATAATAGCAGACATTGTTACTATAGCTATACTACATAATCCTTGAACTATTCGTTTGAGCTCGAAGATCTAAAAAAAACTTGAAAACTACAAGTTAAACTCTAGAAATTGATCAAAAAAATTGTGAGTATATTAATTTAAAACTAAAAACAATCTGTAAGCATAACTATTAATTAATTTACTAACCCTAAATTTGCAACTAGTTCTAGCAAAATTAGCCAATAATTACAATAAAGATACAGGAAATTCACTCACAGAACAATCATGACTAACCTAATTACTTAAAAGTAAAGTGGACCCAAATATTAGAATCTCATGTAATGATTGAAAATTGATTTGCAAAGAGCAATAACATTGAAGACACAAAATTATGAATTCAACTTAGAGAAGAGAGCTTGCATTTCAGATTTCAAGCCCAAATCTTGAATCGATGGCAAGCCAAGTTGATAAATTTCCAGATCGAGAGCTTAAAATCCCCAAATTGAATCACAATTATACTAACCCATATCAGATCTATATATATAAAGACCTCAATCACAATAAGATCGCCAAACAAGATCGCAAATTTCACGTCAATTCAGTGGTCAAAACAGATCTATAAAACAAGCAATTCGTATCAATCTATGTATAAAACCACACAAAACGTACCGTTAGGGGAAAACGAACATGATAGCGACTTGAATCTGATTTCTCACAGCTTCATGAATATGGAAGAGAGAGAATGTTAAGGCTGTATTTTTGTTGGTAGTGAAGAGAATCAAGATGGCATCTGAGAGTCTGCTTTTGTTGCTTACTGAGAACTTTGGTTTCTGTGTTTCGTTTCCTTAAGGTTTAGGGAAGAGAGAGAAAATATGCATGAAAATGGAGGAGGGAGAGGGAGGGGGAGAGAGAGAGAGAGAGAGAGAGAATCTGGAGCAGTAGGGTGAGGAATAATTTGATGCAGGTAGCAAGTCATAATATGATTTTTAGGTCCATGTGATATTTTTGATCACATCACAACCCCAACCCCCTCTCCTGTTGTAACAGTACCGGTAAATCACGGTGAAAAGCCAGAGAAGTTCTTAGGAACTGACTTTAAAAGATGGCAACAGAAAATGTTG